GACACGCTGGAAAGACCGGTAACACGTGATAGCGCATGACGAAGGCATGATGGATGAGGGGGCGGCTAGTTTACGTGATCGGGACATGATCGCTCGCAGACGGGGTGGTCCGTTTGTCCACCGCTGCTCGCTCCGTGTCCGTCTTTTCTCTTTCTGTCCCTCGAGAACGTGTGCCTCCTCCTCCTCTCCTCGTCTCCGGCGCCCCGTTCCTTGTCCTCGTTCTCGTCCTCGTCGCGTGCACCAAGGAACGCGGCCGAACGCGCCCCTGTCACCGAGCGATCCTCATGTCCGGCGGGAGAGACTCGCGGTACGACCTCGCATGCCGATGTCTCGTCTACTCACGCGCCGCCGAGCAACATTTCGCGGACCGCGCGCAAAAATACTTATGCGCGCGACTCCGATTCCGCCACCATTTGACGAACTCGAGAATCGCCGCGGGCGTTTCGGCGAGTTGCCTCAACTAGAAGTCGACCTTGCACCTCCACATATCAAGTGTCTCTAGACATTTCATTCTGAAGCTAGTGTTTGCATTATGATTGATTAAAGGGAGTATAGCTTACCTTGACTCTTAATCGGATCGCCGACAAGCTCGAGCGGCTCGTCTGTACATGCTATGTGTGCGCGCGTGCCTCTCTTTCTTTCTCTCTCTCTTTCGATGTGTGTGCGTGTGTTCGATTTTTCTCATACCAATTTAGAACTCAGAGTGACCTGTCTCGTTTCATCTCCGGCGACAGGCTATTGCTCTTCGCGATGGTCTTAGAGAGAAAACCCAAATCGATTTCGATTCTATCTACCTCTGCAAATGTCGTCAAATTTGAAGGACGAATGGAGAATCTCGAAACTTTAAAACTATATAATATATAACTATATAATTAATAAATAATCGGAGCCTTATTCTTGTACCAATTCCAAATTTAAATTTTTGTCGATGCATAGCATTATTAGACAGACAATTCTTTCCTTTTCACTTCTTTTATCTCCAAATTCTACGGAGACTTCCAACATCAGTAAAAAAATGTAACAAAGAATATGACGGGAGGAAAATTTGTTACGTTTTCACCCTCATTAATTATTTAAAATTTGTTTATCGCACATACGTATTTTATTTGCAATGATAAGTAAGTTATATAATTAACACATTATTTAATAAAATAAAGAGACAATATTGAATGCAGACTAAATACTGAAATAATTAAACAATTCTGAAACAAATGTTCTTTCAACTTTCAGCATGAAGAAAATGACGGCACGTAATCATTTATAGCATCTCAAAATAAAACAATAGTTCATATACAGTACAAATTTTATGTTAAAAACGGTTCACCAGAATTTTCGTTACTTTAATATAGAGAATATGTTAAAAAATACACAAATATATAGCAAACATATTCACCTTAAATAATGAATTCCTCGTTAACTATTGTGACCTTTGCGAAATGGTACAACCTGTTCAGTTTCACGCGTTCTATCTGCACACTACAGGAACCGAGATTAGTTTGAGACATCTTGTATATAAAATAATACCAATATATAAAGTATACATATGTATATGTAAAGTAACTCGAAAATTTAGGCGGACTGTTTATGACGCAAAATTTTCTACTGCGTATAGCGATATATTTCAAAATTCTTCGCGCGGATATTAGTCCTTCAGGTCCGACGGGGTTTGCTGGGCTGATATAGAAACGAAATTTCGACTCGAGGCGCCCCCTCCTTTTTTTACCTCTCGTCGTCGTTCTCGGACGCGAGTCGACTCCGCGAAGTCGTCGTCGTTGAAATTCGTGCGGACGTCGAGGACGGACGGCCGCCGAATACGGACGTCTCAGCGGAGGCTGGGGTTCACGCTGAGACGTTCTCGAGGACGAGCTCGCGGGCTCCCGAGTTTGACGAGGGCACGGACGAACGGTTCGGAGGTCCGTCTTGTATGCAGCACGGGCAGCAGAAACCAGTAGCCCCTCGTCGAAGCGCCCCGCTGACCTCTCCCGACTCCCTCTTCGCCGAGGATTAGACCACGGAGACGTTCTGACGTGAGGAATGCTTTGCCGGTGCCGAGAGGGATCCTCTCGGGAACGAGGCCCTGCCTCCGCTACCACATCCCGCGCTCTTTTTTCCATTTTCGGCGATGTTAATTCTCGATATAACTGTCGCGGCGGGAGAGAGAGGCATCGCGCGAGAGGAAACGAGGCATCTAATTTGAATGCTACTATATTAGCTGCCGCCCGGTGACTCGACAATGTGGGTGAAACCGTGCTCGCGAGCAAACCGTATGAAATTCGTGCCGGGCTAAAACAACGGTTTGACATCTCATCCCGCTAATGAAATCCAGCGCACACGCGGCGGTTCTCGTTGGAGAAGGAAACGAGTGATTCTGAATTCACGCACACCGAGCTGGTAAAGAATTAAAGAGCGATGAGGATTATTCCTTAACTTGTCCCCGGAATTACACCGGGTGAAAAATTTTCTGTTGAAAACGACCAGCTGTGTGGAGTGTTAAGAGATACATAAGTACGGGGTGTCTGACGCAAACCGTGCCATCCGTCATATACTTGTGACTTGGTTTAATATAAACAAAAAAGTGCTCTACCATTTTGCGAAAACTATGCAAAATGTTCAGTTATTAATCATTGAAAATGGCTATTTACAAGAGTTTCTTTAACTCGCGTGTCATAAATTTTCATCTTTCCGTCAATACACCGGATACCCGCTAAAAAAAGGCTATAAAAACATCAGATTGGTGCGAAAATATTGTTTTACTCACAGAATGGAGGTCTGAAGCGTCATGACAAAATTCGCCTAAAAACGTAGGAAAAAATTCGTAATATTTAATTTGGAATAGGTACTCGGGCACCCATCCATCCCTTGACGCAAGGGTTAATTAATAACTGAAAAATTTGCATGGTTATTTGCAAAGTGATGAAGGACTTTCTCGTTCAGAATGGCCCGATCTACAAATATACGGCAATTGTTGCACTTAGCGACAAATTCAACGTTCATGGTTCGATATATTGATGTCTGTCGCTAAGTACAGCAACTGGCATATACTTGTAAATTCGGCCATTCTGCAGAAAAAAGTCCTTTACCACGCAAATTTTTTAATTATTAATTAAAGAAGCCCCTATACATAGCCATTTTCAATAACTCAACATTCTGCGTGGTTGTTTGCAAAATAGTGGAGGATATTTTGTTCACACTGACCTACAACTACAAGCAGACGACAGTTAGCACAGCTTGCGTCGGACATCCTATATGATACTAAATTAACATATTCACTTCATCGATATATGTTGACCATTTTTAACGCAGAATTTTTTACCACGTAGAATGCATGAATTGTACTTTGCCTTTTCCCGCAAATTTCATTTGGACTGGGTTAAGCCGGGGTTTAACCGCCGTCGCGATGCGCGAACGGATATCCGTGAAGTAAGGAGCCCCAGGACGATCGATCCTGCCGCCGGACACTCTTTGGACACTCGTTTCCATCGGAAAACCGGCGGGATCGAAGGATGCGACTCGATAAGTACCGCAGCACGGATTGATTTCGAAGATTCTCATGGACGACTTGACTCGCGGGAGTCGCGGAGAAGGAGAATCGTTGTCGGTTCGATCTCGTCTTGCGGCTGACACGCTCGATCTCGCCCAGAAGACCAATCAGAGGGCCAACTGTTTCGCGAGGGTCGGAAAGCACAAACGGCCGCACTGTCGTCATCGGTTATACGAGTTGCGGTCGAGCGAGCTCTCTGAGATTTCTTCTATTTTCGAGTCGCCCTTTATACTGCCTGCCGTGTATCTTTACGCACGCGTCACCGCGTAGGAAAGATATTTCCTTCGATATCGGAAATAAGTGGGTCTACCGTAGAATGTCATTTTCTCGGCGAGATCGAGCGGACCGCGAAACGTTTATTTTTATTTACACGCAAGTCGGGTTAACATTTTTTCCCTTCTATGAGTAAAGGATACGGAGACTTCTATAAGTAAAGGACGGTCGTTTGCGGCGCATTAAGAATAATATCGTGAATGTTAACGATTAACGTCAAATTATTCGAATTTGAAACTTTTGGATTCGAGAACAAACGTGAATCGAATCAACAGTGATTCGTTTCAATTCAAATTCGAGCGATTCGAACACTTTTATTTTATTGTTAAGTAGATTCAACCAAATTCATTTTTCAGTGCACACAGTAAAAAATGTATTCGATTGGACAAATTTCACATGCTCCCAAAACAGTCCGCTCAAATTCTTATGTTAATTTAACACAAGGTAAATATGTTGAAAAGTAACACAAATATTATGTCGAAAATTAATTCAAAACTAATACGTTAATCGAAACTGAAGTAAAAAATGTGTTGTTTTAACACATATACACATAGAATAGGCAACATCGACGCAACGCAAAGTGTTAAGATAACATAAACACAATGTTAAATTATGTTAAATTAACACACGAGCATATTAAAAGTTTAACAGAAGAATTTTAACAAGGTCTTATTTTAACACAAGTACAAAATGCTTTTACTGTGCAAGAGAAGAACGCGGGGTTGCCCACGCGCGCGCGAAGCATCGACGATGACGTAACGCAAAGAGCAAAAAAAACGTGGGTCCTTATGTATGCATATATGCGTGTCAACATATCGCGCAAGTTGAGATAATTGGTCGTGCGACGAACGGGACAAATATTATTTCTTCGGAGCGGAGCCGAGGGAGGATTATATTTGTATGATAATACTTTACACTCGACTGGCTCCCTGTAATGGAAGAGGGATATATGCGTTGGGGGAACGCACCCAGTGATTCGACTTGCTATTATACGATGTAATCAGTACTCCATAAATATCCGCGCTTTCACTCACCCACCGCTAAGGACTCGAATAAGTGTTGGGTTTTATAGATGCGTTACGCCGATCGTTTTAGCGGGTCGTCGGGTTATGATAACAACGATTCATTCTCTCATGATCGTCCTCTCTCATGCTGCAGATCGCGAAGAAATATAACGGTTGTCTTCCGAAGATTACGAGATCTTTATTATCGCTGCTACAAATGTCTTGAAAAGTAACAACGCGCGCGACGCTGGGGTTATTCTCGACGTAGAAATGGATTAAGTTTTCGACGATTAGTTTTCGCAAGGAAAAGTGAAGTAGCAAGACCTGTGAACAGAAAGATGGAATATATGAATATGTATTCCGTCTGATTAAAACAAGGAAAGAGCACGAAAATTATATGAAACAATAAGCAAGAATATATCTTTCAAAAATATTATAATATGAATAAATATGTAAACGTTCTTACATCTTATTCTTTACTCCTTTTATTGGATTTTAAGCTATAGCTTATTCCTAATATCTTATTCCCAATTCTCTATATTTAATTCCTTGCTTCTTATCCCTTTCATCGTGTCTGAACCCTTATTTTCAGGGATAATCGATAATGAGCAATTCCCTCCCTTCCGTCGTCTATCTCGCGTAACAATATCATAAATAATATATAAACCTTTTCTTGCACGGGTTAGATTGACATTTTTTAAATAAAATCGCACGCCTTAGAAGCACGATGGGTAATTTCAAAACAGAGGAAGCTGCAATCACGCAGATGGGGCGCAGTCTAATTCGGTAGCTTTGTTAAGATTACGGTGAACTTGACGGAGATGACACCGTTGTTGCGTCCCCGGGGTGCCTTTGTATCGGCGGGCCGCGACCCGCGCTCCAAAGTCGGATAAGAGAAAGAAACAAATCCGCCACCTCTGGATATGAGAAACCGTGCGATGGCCGATGCGATAGCTGTCTTGGTAAGCTGTCTAGGAATGCGGCCCTCTCGCTCAGTCTCCCATTCTATTTCAATCAGCCTCTTTCTCTCTATCTCTTTTCTTCCCTCCTCTCTTTCTCCCTCTTTATCATTCTCTTTCTCTCTCTCTCTCTCTCTTTCCCTGTCCGAGTCCGACATGACATCCGAGAAGCCTTCATCAGGCCCCAATATCCAGGGCACATCGTTTCGCTTGCCACCCTGTCGGCGGCAGATCAAATCAATCTCGATCGTGGCGCGCTGCTCGACCCTTTTCCAAGTTCTCGAGATGTCCGCGTTAATATCATGCCGCGTGAGGTAATATTACTCGCAGTATAACAAGTCTTCTTCTTCTCAGCTATCAAACCGGCTCAACCGCCGACTGCGTCACTACGAGAAAAAACTGAAACACGCGGATGACAACTGCATACCTTAGAGACCATGAAATTAAAAATAGCGGGAAACCGTTGTTAGAAAAATGATAGCTACAACAACCAGATACGTTGAGTACTTATCCTTCGGTAAAGATCGCACGGTGACATCGGCAAGTATAAATGAAATGAGAATAGCGCTAAGACCGAGCGCTTTAACGCTGACAGTAACGTGTTAGGCCTACTAAGCCTGCGTGTTTTCTTCCGCTTATCATCTCTTCCACGTTTTGCGCAAGATATCCCACATCCCATTCTTTTATTATTCAAAAGAGAAAGTTGTGCATATGACTTTTACTATTATCTGATTTAATTAGATAACTGGTTTTCTGGCGGCAACCAGTTCGCAAAGATAATAGAAATAATAGATAATAGAAAAATTAATAAACTCAATAATTCAGTAATAATTTTAATACTCAGTAATCAACTCAATAAAAGACCAAAAAATACCAAGAAATCACCATTTTTACCATTTTTTCGTGATGTAAGCTTGAAAGATCCATGATGTTATTTTAGCGTCAAGATCACGGGTGTAAGGGTGTATTTAGACATTAAAAGAAATAAGGAATTATTGAGTTTATTAATTTTTCACAAACAAAGAATCCCCCTTAATGATGACGGTAATAGTTCATTAAAAAATATATAATAAAAGCGATGATTTCATTTTTAAAACGTTCTTATATTTTATTTTCTACACCTTTTATTGTGTTTTAAACTATAGCTTATCTCTAACATCTATTCCGAATTCCCTATAATTAACTCCTTATTCCTTGTTCCTTGCACAATATCCGGGTCGAAATTTTCGTTCTATATTAAATCTATTTAATTTTGCATTAAAGTCTTCAAAAGTTTCCTATTGTGCTCCCAGTGATGCCGCAAATGGAAAGTTATTCCCGTTTTCTCCGGTTGAAGATTTAATATAGAATTTAAAATTTCCCCCCGGAATGTCTAAATTCCCTTTGTAGCGTCAAAGGAGCATTATTTCCGTGTTCGCCACTTGAAGATTTAATGTAGAATTAAACAAACTTAACATAAACCAATGCAGGTATAAAATTTCAATTCGGGTGAGCCCTTACTCTCAAAGTTAATCAGTAATGAGCGAAACCCTCTTGCCTCTATCTCAACGTATAATTCGCCTTTACCTTTCGCAAAAACGCGATCGATAAGTGTACAAGCGGACAAGCGGACATGGACACCTTCCTCCTCCTCTCAATGCTGCCTCGCATCATCCAGCTGACGTCTCCGTGCAGACGCGCGTTTATGCGGCTACACCGAAATCCGGCCGAATTGTGTCGGCAAACACCGTGCATTGTCCGCACGGGGAAAAATTGCCGGGGCGCGTTTACGTCACGCCGCCCGTCCTGAAAAGTAATCTACACCGTATTGTCGGTGCGTGCGTCCGGCCATCCGCGAAAGGTCTTAGTGCCCCTTTCTCTCTCTCTCTCCCTGTTCGCTTTTTAGCGCGCGGGCTTAGTGTGCCGCGATATTCGCCGACGAGGAGGAAAAAAGAGGAGGACGACGCGCGCATTCGCGGCGTGACGATCTGTCACGGGCATCGACGATCGCGGTCGGATGATCGCGCGTAAGCGCGTTATTCGGGCCTTTCAGACCCGCGACGGTATCGTTGCCTCTTACTCCGGGGGTTGGCACTCTACAGGAAGGGCGGGGTGAGTCCTCGGCAACCGCCATCAGCAACCGGGATTATCTCTCTCGTTGGGTCTCGGCGCGACGATGCCGCCGTCGGTCCTCCTTCCTTTACCTGGCTGCTCCTCGAGGATTTCGGCGCCTACCTGTGCGAACATCGCCCGCTCGATGTGGCGCTCGACTGGCACAATGGAGAGACAACTGGGACCCGCATGGTGCAGTTTAGCGCTGCTGAGGAGCGCGATCCTTCCGATTCGCAGGCTCTCTCGGTTTGTTCGCCGGGTTCGTTGACTCGTTCGTCGGAAATCATCCGTTCGTCGCCGGCTGAGAGTCGAGCGGCGGGACTCGCGGAAGCGACTCGATTATATTCGGACGTCTCGGATTTACGGCGGGTCCCGAGTTACGGCTTACTGCCTCGACCTCGGACGGAAGTTTTCTCAAGAGGTCCGAATCTGCGCCAATGTCGATGTACATATTTCTACCGCGCGAGAGCGGCCAAGCAAGTTTGGGGAAATACGACTCCCTCGTGTTTACGTTTTCCGTTTTTGCGAACTCGGCAGGTGGCCCCGACTTTGAACGGTTCGTTTCGCTCGAACTGCGCCCCGTGTTCCGTAATGACGAGTCTTTTTCAATATTTGTCCGCTCCACGAGCGTCCGCACAAACTACAGTAAGTAACGCGTTAGAGATGTTGCTAACTCCTTCGAGTCTTGCTTCACGAAAAGTCAGCGCTACTCGAGTACGAATCGAGGTCGGATCGACGTGATCATCCGTCGTGAGAAGGACGGCCGAGAAAATTTCGCGACCGGCAGACGATAGAGAGAAGGAGATATATAGATAGATAGATAGATAGATAGAGAAAGAGAGAGAGAGGAGGGGGACAAAGGTGAAGACACGCGCGGGATCCCGGCTCTTCGGCCGTTTTCCAGAGCGCGCCGCAGCTGTAAAACGCCGTATACCATCGGCTCGGTGATCCGCGATGCCTAATTTTCGAGAGTAGGTCCAGGCGGGCGGAAAGGGGGCGAGGAGCCACCTGGAACCCCCGGATCAAGGGAGTGAGGGACTATTCGGATGCGCCGAGCCGTGCAACGAGCCGCCGCGAAATAAGGGATGCTCTCCTCTTTCTCCGCCCTGCCTCCCCGACCCTCCCCGGACAGTGTCGTAATGCGGTGCCTCCGACCGTGTTTCGGGCCCTCGACCGCCGTTTTTTTTCTTCTCTCCTCCTCGTCCTTTTTACGACGCGCACCATCCCGTGCGCGTACGTGTGTACGCGTGTAACTAATACGGAGAGACGCCGTTCGGGACAGCGAGCGAAGGGTACGCGCCGAGGAGACTTAAGCGCGAGCATACTTACCGCATGTTGCCATAATGAGTCGCGGGGTCGAGTGCACCGGGGACAGGGAGGGGAGGGGGGGACTTATCTCTCCCCCTCCCGCCGGCCTGCTCCCTTTTCATTGAATGCCGCAAAGAGCGGCCGATGCCTCCAAAGGAAGATTAAAGAGCCGCGATCCTCGGCGCAGTTTGTTTATCGGCCGGCTTGCTTTCTCTTCCCCCTCGCTCCTCCTCCGTGTCTGCTCCTGCGTTTCCACTTTTTTTTCCCCTCCTCTCTTTCTTCATCTTCATCTTCCTCCTCCTTCACGCCCTTGCCGTCTTCGACACCCGCCGCGTCCCCTCGACGCCGAGTGTGCGATCCGCCGCGTATTACGAACCAATAAGACCCAGGAGCGGTTTCCTCAGCGGGAAGACTCGGAGCGCGTTTGCCCGAGGAATATCGATATTCCCTCTCGACGCGAGAATCGCTCGATCTTCGCCTCCTGTTCTTTCCCGGGCGAATTTTCAATTTTCGCCCTTCACTGGAAGATTTCCGAACGGGAGTCTCGAAAGTTACAGAGATATTCTCTCTCTCGCGACGCGCCTCCCTTTGAAATCATCGGAGGGCGATCCAATTTTGTCGCGCGCGCGTCTCTCAGCAGCGGTTTCCGCCCGACAACTGTAAAAGTTAGACGCGTTTCGCCGCTCTCACAAAGCGCACGTAAAATCGCCTGCCCGCCGCAGTACGTAGTGTACGCACTGGATGTACAAGGGTTCAATCGCGGTTTTGCGAGGGGTTGGAAAGTCGGCACACCGGAGGGACGTGCAGGGGATGTTTCGGAGAGTAGGGCGTACACACAACTGGCGGAGGGAAAACATGGTGGCCAACTGGTTGCGGCATTCATCAGAGGCGGTGCTCCGCGTACCTTTTGAGATCTCCTCTTTTTTACCGTCCTCCGTGTATACACGCGTATATACCGGCGCGCGAAGGGGAACGAGAAGGAGAAAGAGAGAGAGAGAGAGAGAGAAAGGGAGAGAGGGGGAACGACTGGCTCTATGAGAAAAACTCTCCATTGAAATTATCGACGAGAAAGGAGCCGCCTCCGTGTCGGCTCCCTTTGCGCGATCCCGCTTCGATCCTACGAGGAATCATCGGGAGGTATTTACACCTTCTTTACGCCCAAGAGCCGCACGCAGTGCATTATCGCCGGCTCTGCTTAATCATGCGTGGAGCACGCGATCGTGCGCTCGCGCGCAGCCCTCGTCTCGCTACCAACAAAGCCGCACGTACGTAATGGCAAAACGTCGTCACAAAGAAAGCGCCTTTCTCCCGCGAACGCGTTCCTGAGGCTGTCGCGTAAATATAATATCTTTGAGGCTGCACACGAATAAAAAATACGTTATTAATAGCTGGAAAATTGCGTGAGCGTAAGACACCGTTTTCGCCGCGTTTTTCACTCTCTCAGCATCGACCGCAATCGTAACCTTTCGATCGGCGACAATACGAAACGAAATGTTCGCGTCGTGTCACGGTCCATCAGCCGTGAGAGTTTCTCCATGTAAGGATGTTTCGATTCGTACCGATACATTGAATTATTGACACAGGTCACTTGATATCCGATATGTCGCATCGATATTTTCAATTTCAATATCGTAACGTATCGGTTAAAGACTTAGATATCAATTGATTCAATGCGAACCAAAACATAATTTATCTGTGTTCCGTTATTGTATAATGCTCATAAATATATTCTTATTTCAAGATTCAAATATTGTCCTCACACAGAAAAGAAACAGTTTTAAATCGAGAATAGATATTCCCAAATATAAACAAGAACATTATAATCTTCTTGGAGGGTTTTTAATCTTGAATCGAGTTCAAGTAATACTTGCATCAATACAAATTCAATCAAACTAAAAAATCTTCTACGAAGATTATAATATCCTTGCTTATATATGAGAATATCTATTCTTAATTTAAAACTAATTTCTTTTTTGTGTAGGCATTAAGACGGCCTTTTTATTGATTAAGGGATTATTGAAGTGAACAGACACGAATCAAGCGACATGCAACGTTACCACGTGAAATGGATATAATTCATATGCGCTTTCTCAGGAGATTTGTCGAAAAATAACAGCGTGCCTGAGTCGAAATTTTAGTTACTTTAATCTTCCGTTAAAATATTTTTCACCAATGAACGGTCGCAATGTATTTCACAAATACTAATTTTCTAATTATTTTCTTCTGCTTCTTGAAAGAATTTTTCTCTCATTAGCACTTGGCTGATAGGCCAGGCATTAAAGTCACGTAAAAAAGTAGGGAAGAGCAAAGAAAACAGAGAAAAAATATTGACAAGGAGGAATTCGAGCGAAATTTGCGGGATATTGCGATTAAATTGCGGGTTAAATCTAATTTAGTTCCACGTTAAGTCCTCAAAGTTCTTCTATTGTACTGCTTTGATGCTACAAATGGGAAAGTTATTGCCGTTTTCCCCATTTGAGGACTTAATGTAGAACTGAAATTTAGACTTTAGAGGTCTCAACTTCCATTTGTAGCATTAGAGAAGCATTTAACGTGCTCCTTGGATACTACAAATAGGAACTTATTTCCGTTTCTTCCCCTTTAGGGGAAAATTTAGGCTCGTATTCTGAATGCACTTACAACGATAGCGCGCTAACAAGTCAACTTATTAATAATTTTGAAAAGGGATTTTGCTATAAACATGCGTAATTATCGATTTTTCCTATCAGAACATTATTATCATCGTGAATATTATACATAATATTATACGTAATAATACATGAGAATGCTCATAACTCTTGACTTGTTAGCGCGCTAACATCGTTGTAATGTACGTGAGGAATACGAGTCTAATATAAAATTTAAAATTTCGATTCGGACGGTCGCTCTCTCCGACTTCTCTCCGATAATATATAAAATTTAGAATGTTATCATTAACAAGCAAAATAATATCTAAAAGACGTCTCGAAAAGTAACGATGCTCTCTAACATCGATACATTTCTAATATCGGTTGTACAAACCGTGACTCTTCGGATTACAATCAAATCAAATATATGAACTATAGACGTCAGAAGCTAAATTTGCAGGTGACGATCGCCAAAAATTTATCGCAATTTCATACATAATATAATTTAATATGCATTACAATACATTTTTCGCGATCATCATCTGCAAATTTGGCTAATCCTAACGTCTATAATTCATATATTTTGTACAATATATCGGTGTATCGGTATTACGTATACTTCGATTCGTATCGATACAAAATATCGACACTTTGTGCTCCTCCGCGCGTCCCTGATCCCGTGGGTATCTCGTTTTATCTCGGGACCAATGGGTGGATTCGACGGTGGTGGACCATCGCGTCATCCCTATGCGCGAGGGAGAGTCGATAGATCCGCGAGTGAGGAAAAACGGAGACGCGACGCGTCGAAGTGCCCGGAAGGGAGGAGAATGGGAGCAGGCGAGCCGCGCGGCGCGCATCAGAAGCGTGGCAAATCTCCCTCTCGGATGTTTCCAATTACGTTTACGTCTCTCCGCCTGCTGCCCCCCTAGCCGCCCCGACCGCCCGCCATCCTTGCCCCGGTGCCGGTGTCTGATTACACCGCGATGTCGGGCGTCCCGTACGCCGCAAAGAGGAGAGAGAGATATACACTTGCCGCGCCCGCGTCGTCCTTCGTCGCCGGGCGCCGAAGCCTGAAATCAGAGAATAATAAAATTCACCTAACGTCGTTTATAACCGGGGATACCGAAGAAGAGGGCTCCCTCTCTTTCTCTCTCTCTCTCTCTCTCGAGACTTCTACGTAGCGGAACGCAGCTCGCGGAAAGGGCGCGCGAGGGAGTAATCCGATACGACGAGGCCGAAAGTTTCGCGAGGAGGGTAACATAGTTGTGTCGGCAAAGTCGGCCCTTTAAAGAGACCGCGAGATCGAAGCGCCGTTTGCGCTCGTTCTCGCCCAACATCCGCTTCGGACCGTCGCTTCGTGCGACGGGTAGCCCGAATATTCCCCGTATGTTGCTCGTTTCGCACAATAAATCGCCGCGACGATGTATAATTCGATGCCGGGAGCAATATCATTCGCGGTATCACATTCTTCCTTCTCTTCTCTCGCCCTTTTTCCGCGCTTTCTCTCTCTCTGTCTCTCTCTCTCTCTCTCTCTTTCACTCATTCTCCCTCTGGTTTTTTTTTTTTGAAACGACGAATACAATCGCGTTTATAGTAAATCGCTCGATTGTTACCGCCGCTGTTGTTATTATACGTACGCGGCTAAATCGATTATTCGCAAATTGTAATTATTATTCTCCGCGGCGTATCTTTGTCCCGAGTTATATATATTTTTTTTTGTTCCGGTAATCACGTTGCGCCAGTCTCTTTTTGTCGCGGAACGAGACATTTAAAGCCCCGCGAGCGCATAATCCATTGTTCACACGGATAATTTTATTAATGTACGTTAATCCGCGTGTTCCACGCGTTCAAATGCCCGTATTGCAGTTCGTTAACTTAATGGCGATTATCAGGATGAAATACAACTCGTAAATGCGCGAGGCGCAATCCGGATAAGCCGAAAGGCAATAAAGAGGAATTGTAAATGCCTCGGATGAAAATGCTGCCAACAATGCGGCCTCGATAGTATTCTGTTCGTGTTAAACGTTCGAATAACACCGTTGCGAGCACGGAAATCGGTTCGATTAAAAATACCGCTAAGCGCGCTAGTCGTTTTTGCGCGATATGCGGCGCGCAACAATAGGCGGATGTGCGTGAAGTTCGAAATACAAGTTCGGCGGGCGATACCCCAGAAAATTGACAATGTGCGAAGAAGATCTAGCGATATCGGCGTTACAAGGTATAAACGAGACAAGGGGAACTTAGTAAGGTAAAAGTATCGATACGTATAGATATTCATCGCATTAAGCTAATCCTGAATCTGACGTTTTTTTACTAGTTTTACGAAAGTTTTCACTTGGGTGACCGCCGTTACTCCGTTTTGCTATATATATATTAGTGGTCGGAAATTTATACATTCGTGCACAGAAAAAAAATTAGCACCCACAGCTAAAAATGAGCGATCCATATAGTACAACTGAAATTTCGACAATTTAGCGAGTTTTCTTTATCCCTGCGTCTATTTTTAGCTCCCACAATTAAAAACTAGATCTGGTAACTTAAATTTCAGTTATATTATGTGGACAGATAATTCTTGCTTCCATGTAGTTAAAACCAAAACAATAAAAATGTCCAGGTTTAGGCGCATATCCGGGTGTTGGTACTTTTACCTTACAAGCGCTCTTGAACAAATTCTTTTTGAGCGATATATTTATTAATATATGTGAACAATAGTGGCAATAAGAGGAGGGCGGCTGTGTGTACAAATTAAATTAGTTCCGTGTCAGCGATCATCTGGAATATCAACATTGCGTGTTGTAGACAAACGCGGCGCGAACGAGCGGGACTCGTCGCGCGTTTCGACTGCGACTTGATAAATCCAATTGTACGCGGCGGCTAAAGCCGAAAGGTACACGAGGGCCGTGTCGAAAGAGACACGAACTTTGACAGCGACTCGCTGCCGCGTGTTTCACGGCTATCAAGTGAACGCTACCTATATACTCTAGCTGCGGGGAATATTAGTGGCGGCGCATAAAGACGTTATTATCCTGACGGCTGCCGTCTACTCCCTGCATTCGTCGCGATCGGTATCGCTTCCTGAGTCTCGGTGAGTCGAATCGCAAGATATACGCGAGGCGCCTCGCGCGAAGGCGCCCCGGAAAATCGCTCTCCGTTGAAGCAAGATTTATTTATCTCGTATGCGTGTATATGTGTATGTGTGTGTGTGTGTTTGGGTTTGTGCATATGTGACGAGTCCAATTTTCAAGTACAATGAACTTAAAAGTGGAATATCGATACAGGTGAACAAGACGTAGCTAATTTGCACATAAAAAAGATTAATATCAATTCAATATTCGTAACTTCGTATATAAACAAGAATGTGTAATTTTATATAAAGATAAAACTTGCTCATACATGAAGAAATTCTATATATTAAAGAATTCCACACACACAAATATGCATTGTAAAAATATAATATTCTTGTTATTCAAGAATGATTTATATGAATTGAGAGGAAAAAAACACTTATTAGAAAGAACGATATCTTCAAACTGAAATTCTTAGTTTAAAGATATGGTTCTTTCTACTGAGTATTTTTTACTCTCGATACACGAAAATTATTCCTGAATAACATGATTATATTTTCAGTGAGACTATATAGATTATTTCTTCATGTATAAGAGCAAATTTTATCTTCAGATTATATATTTTTGCTTATATGTGATGATATGAGTTTTGAATTGATAATGATTTTTTCCCGTATAGCGAATAAACGAAGCTAAGACGTAAAGCTCGACTTACGGTACCCGAAAAATCTTTAGCTGAAGGTGTGTTTTTCGCACGGATGGGAAAGATTGACCGGCAAGTAAATAGGGGATTTCGTTCGGCGAAAGACTTAGAATTTTCTATCTTTCTATTCTATCTTTTCTTCAAAGTCTAGTAATCCAATACCCTGCCGCGTTAATCTGACAAAAATCCGTCTCAATCATATCCGTCCGATATTCTAAGAATTTGCATTCTTATTTAACACTCTGCGGCCCGCCAACGATATAATATTGGCGTGTCTTTACCGATGAAACGGTCCGCCGACGATATAGTATCTTCGCTCGAATTTCAACGTTGAGTCCGCCGATATATATAGTCTGTTCGTTTTAGCTGAGCCAGCTACACTAAAAAAGCTCTACATAGACGTTAAAGTATACATATGAAGTATATATATATGAAGTTTATGTACGAGAATTTCCCGTTTCAATATGTGTAAATATCTTGAATTAATGCAGCAAGTTCAACTAGAAAGAATCGACCAATAGTGACGTCGCGATAGAACGTTACTATTAATGATATACACATACCTACAAGGTTGAAGATAAATATGTAGATTAAAATAAAAGTGGAATATGCTTAGCAACGTGCTAGCAACGTTATGAAACATTGTAAACATAATGAAAAACCGCAGTCGAGCATTAGAAAGTGACGAATTGAAAGTTGAAATAGTAATGAACGGAAGTGCAGAAATATTAAATAATAGAATTATATCCGATGGAGAATTTCATCAGACGATGAAATTATTACATCTTCAGACGATATACAAAATTTCTCACAGCCAATTCTAAGCACGTTATTAAAAAATTGCAAGCATGATTTTACATCGGACGGTTCTCTCCTTTAGGTAAATTAATTTATCAATACGCCGACGCTTGACGACTTTTTCCAATAAGGAGAAAACTAATATTGTTGACTATCCGAAAAACAAATAAAAACGAAAAAAGTTGAAATAAAAACAAATAAAAGCAAAAGAAATTTATTATGTTTATTAATGAGGGGAAAATATGAACTTTACGATAATAAAAGTCAAATTGCTGTAATTTTAATAAATCCTTTTATGCCGGTGTTTATTTACGAGCGAAAAGGTGCGGCTAAACATGGATTATAGGTTCGGTTTGCTTAAGTCAGGTAGCGCGACAACTTCCATACAAAGCGCGGACCGCAAAGTGTTAATAATTTTCCTTTAAATCGACTGTCCCGTTGCGTTTTTGTTAGCTACGGACCGTAGCGAAAGCTTCGGAGCCCAGCGGATCGGCAGCGAGACTCCCACGCGCGTATCAACGCACTCAGCGAATCTTGCACCTTTCTTCGCCTCTGATTACTCATGCTTGGCCGATTAATTGCAAACTCGTTTGGATACGTGCGTTTAGTATCGATTGTGCAAGGTCGCTCTAGGTTTTTAAATAGCACTTGAATGATTTTCCTCTATTTCTTATTCATCCACCACGTAAGTGGCTGCGCGCAATGAAATTACGTAAACACATTTGTGATCTGGTAGATCCACCTATTCGATAATACTTATCAAATATTCGCTTTTTTTTTCGGGACAAAAGATCCGGTAGAACACAGAATGTTTTTTTACAGCATTTGAATATACCACTTGAATGTATGATACTGGATGTCAAAAACGTTAACATTAAGTTGATAGAATCCGCCGACGTTTTTGTTTTTCTATTTTTCCGCTTTTTTTCTGTTACACGTTTTATCGCAGATAATCCGTAACCCCTTTATCGACCTTTCTATCAGACCGATACAGTTTTTTATTTCCACCCGCACATTACTAATGGCAGGGAACAATGCGGGATAAATCGTATTGTAAAATCAATTTCTCGTCGCGTAATGCCGTCAACGTGAAGTTATGATTGGTATACGAAAAAGCGGCCGGTGTGTGTGTGCGTGTGCGCGCGCTTTGCGAATATAAAAATAATTGGTAGTCGACGAGTTTTTCGCGAGCGACACGCGCGGGCTTTTTACATGCCGCGACGAATGATCGAAATAATTTGCGCGTCGGCGCCGGATCCGCGAAACTTTCTCGGTGACACGCATTTGTACCGGCGTTGCATTTTTTGCTGCGCTATTTCCTTCCCCGCCTCCCTCGCCCCTGTCATCGTGTCGTTAATCGCGCCGATTGCCGCGCGCGCGGCGAGGAAGAGTTAGATACGCAGGTAATTGGCGCCTAATTGGACCCACCTGTTCCATCCGGCCGGGCAAAGGAATCTCGACTCTCTTACGGTATTTATTTTAAGCGAAAGGGTTGGTCTCTCTCTCTCTCTCTTTTCCCCCCTCCATCTATCTTTCTCTCTCGATTATCCGGTACTCGTGCTGATCCTCTTTTGTCAACGGGGCGAATCACGAATTCCATAAAGAGACTTTTCAATATCACATAGAAGGTCGATCGAGAGACCGAATTTAATTAAGGGGCGCATTTTTACCCCGTCGTTCTAACGTTTTTGAAAGTGTTTCCACCCTCCGAAGAAAGTTTCTTTTAGTTAGTTACAACGCCTCGGATCTTTGCAGCCTCGCTTTTATTTCGGAATGTTCAAACCCGACGTAACGGCTACGCGGTAGAGGGTGAGAAATTAAACTACAATTATCAGTGTGTCGTGAGAATTAATGCGAGATGCGCGCCAGTCTGCGACTCCGGTGTCCGCGCGATACACGTCGGCGGAAACGCGTCCGCTCTAATTCCGCGTAATACGGCGTTTCGTGCGAGTTGCTTTGTATGCGAAGTAATCGCTTTAAAGCGCTCCCGGTAATTCTCAAAGAAAGAGCAAACGCCGGTTTTTACTCGCGGCCGCCATTATCTCTCATTAGAGCGGTTTCTTTCACTGGCAAGCCCGCCCCGCGCTCTTCTCTCTTATGTCAACCCGCGGGCGCGCGCGCGTTTATGTGTGCGCACGTACAGAAAAAACCGCGGAAAATCAAATAAAGACGGGCAGATTCGAGGAAAGGGGTGCGAGAGAAGAGGGTGGAACGCAAAGTGCCGTGTACCAGCGCTCCGCGCCGCGCAGCGCAACTGCGTGTGACGCACGGACGGACTCGGAGATAAAAAAATAAACACGTATGAAATCGGACGGGTTGCCGAAGGCAGATAAATCGGAAGGTGGATTACGGACGGTCGTGACGGACGTTACGCGTGAAAGCGGCGTCGGGACGTCAAACTCGACGTTCATCCGCGTCAAACGGTTCTCGTCCGCCTTGCGCTCGAAACACGGTACGGGTCGGCGAGGTCGCGAGAGGGACGATCCAGCGATCCCGACAAATTAAAAGCCGTCCGGCCGTAAGTAAGTAACAAAGCTCATTATTGATGAGAGCTCGCCTCGCGTGAGAATCTTAATCGCCAAGATAATGGCAGGCGGTTGATCTCTCACGATTTGATAACCCGAGACGAGTGATCTCGCGATTTCGGACAGCTCCAGACGTCCGAGAACAACCGGATGAAGTTCTGTCGGACACAACAAGGACTCGCGAGTCCAAAGTCATGACGTCGATCGGTACCGTCCCAATATCAGACACGAACGAATCGAGGAGGCTAAGGTGTTCCAGACGCTGTCGGCCCGACAAAAGGGTGGTGGTGGCAGGGAAAAGACAAAGGAATCGAGTCGCACGCGCGGAAAGATGGAGGAGCGATGCCGAGAGAGAGAGAGAGAGAGAGAGAGAGACTCACGCGAATATTTGAGCGGCGTCGTGATTTCGCGATTTCTCTTTTTCCTTTCTTCCACACGTACATACACACACACACGCACACAGTCACGCGTGCACACAAGAGCAGAACTTACCCCGGCGGCGTGAGAAATCCGCGCGGAACGCTCGGCAGATAGGGAAAGGAGACGGGTGGAGACGGTGACGACGACGACGGCCGGCGACGGCGTTGCGTGCGAGAGTGGCGTCGCGACGCCGGGCGTCGGCGTGGATCTCGCGCGCGCCCTGCAGCGCGACGACGCTCCGCGACGCGCCGCGCGTCGAAAACAATGGCGTCGTCGAAATTCCGATCCAACAGGGAACAGAGAACCGCCCACGACAGGCGCCGCCCCCGGTTCAAAGCATCGTCGGCGGCGGCTGTGCCGGGGGCCGCGTCGGGGAACTCGTGCCGAGTTGCGCCGCGACGCGCGGTTGCGGTTTATCCCCACCGTCGGCGACCGGTGAGCGCGACGAGCCGCGGCCACGCCAGGACGACGTTGCTCCACCCAGATACAAGTTATACCGCACGCTCCTGGTCGAGAAGCCTCGTCCGGGGTAACGTTGCCCGGAGGCAAGGCAACTGCTGGCCGACTCGGACGGGAAAGGGAGAAAGAGAGAGTGAGACAGGGTGAGGAACAGAAGGGATGGGAGGGGGAGGCGAAGAACGAGGAACGGAGACGGCGAGAGCGGCGAGAAAGAGAGAGAGGGGGCGCGGTGGAGCAGGGACAACACCGAAGGGAGAGAGACGGTGTGTGTGTACGAGGGAACGCGCTTAGGGGTGGGGTGCGCCGAAATCGTGCGGCAGGGATCTCGGCATGAGGAAAGGCAGACTCTGGTGGTCAATCGGGCGCCGCGCACCGCAGCAGCGACGCGTCACTGCATCCCTGTTTTGGGAGTCGGGCACGTGCTTCTTTCCTCTCCACCGACGCGCACGTTCAACTGCACTCCGGCTCGCAGCAGGTCGTCCGCGTTCGCAGCCAGCGAGGCGCGACAAACGCCGTTAAACCGCCGTGCGGCCGCGCTTCCACGCCCGCGCCACGTCGCCACTCGAGAGAGGATTCTTGGATTTGCTGCTCCTCTCTCTCCCTCCCTCTCTTTCTCTCTCTCTCTCTCTCTCTCTGTTCTCTTCTCTTTCTGCGATTTAAGCAGAAGTAGCAACATACGAACAGGTGCGCGGCGTCGGTAACGTACACCTCGCGTGCGCGCTCGTCCCTCGAGCGCACCCTCTCCGAGAAGCGGTACTCCTGGCGCTGCCGTGGCCCTGAGGAGACGCGCCTCCGAGTCCGCCGTGGTCATCGTCGCGCTCGCTCGCAGGCTGATAAAGCGGCGCGGCCCACGTAAACTCGCCGGCAGTGTGGATTCCCCGAGGACGACAACGACGTGGCGAGGTCCGTTCGTACTCTCGTTAAACTGTGCAATTGTAGTGTGTCAGTGAGACCGCGGAACCCAAGTCGCGGCCGCACGTCGTCATAGCTGACTCCTTCCACGGTCGGGTTCCCCGTCGGCGACGTGGCGAACTGAGAGTGCGGGTGCTCCGCCGCGACTCGCGGGGCCGCGCTTCGAGAAAAAACAAAAGTGCCGTGAGAGGAGCCACGCGGATTGTGCTTTCAGCTGGTGCCTGGATCCGGCCTGACCACGGCCATTCTCGACACGGTATGTGTTACCCGCATTCTTCGGCTCGCGAGACGAGGAGGGCGAGATCTTTCCTTCTTAAATTCACCGGCTCCGAACGGTGGATCGCGGACGATTTCTGCGAACGATTCTCGCCGCTCGAGTGTCGGAAATCGAACGCGAAACGCCTCGCATCTCGTCCCGATGACAGTCCACCATCCTTGAGACTCGCGTTATGCGTCACACGGATCATTAATTCGCTCGTAATTGATCCGGCAAGGTTCGGAACCGCTTCCCATTAATTGTAACGTATCGTTAAGGGGAGCTCCGTTTTGTCAAAAGTAATTGATCTTCTTGCGTCTCTTTTCGTTACGTCGTATCGTCCCTGCGTTTAACGGACGAGATTGTTTCTCCCCCGACGTTCGGAGTATTCCGGTCGGGCGCGGGACCTCTTTTATTTTGGCATTTTTACTCGCCAGGTTCGCGCACTTCTGGCCCCCGATCAGCGGTGAAATTAAATAATTATCGCCTCAGGAGGAAAAATTACAGGTGCATACACGCGCGAATATATCAATTTAATGAACTCGAATTTCAAGTAACACGCGGCACGGTAGGAAAATTTACACATTTGAAAGAATATCGCGATACGTATGAACGGATTTTCTCTCTCGTCATTACGAAATATCTCCTTATTAATTTTTCAATTTACGCACCCGCACGTAATCATTTTTATCCGCTTAAGCGCGAGCAGTTTTAGCGATGCCCGACGCGCGAAATGTATGGAAAATATTTACCGCGAAATTATGCGCGCGGATCCCGCCGTAACTCTCTGTCTCGTCGCGGGTATATTCGCGAGTACGCTGTGTTTTCCACGATCAGGAACAATCGATTCCTCCACAGGTGCGTTCCGTCAGTTTAAGCGCGCGCGAGACGTTTATTCTTTGATTTACCGCGATTATGAGATTTTAATCTCATTTATGCGGCAAGAGCGAAAATATATATCTATATATATATATATATATATCTCATTGCTCGTCCAGGACACGGCGGTAAAAGAGCGAATTTTCCCCCGCAGGACTCGCCTCTATCTATAGAAAACTGTAATAAACCGGAATAGACGTAATAACTTGGACGCGCGCGCGCGCGACGGCGCGACGGTTAGCTACAAATTGCGCGTGGCACAATGGCGTTGTTAACGCCCGAGTACCTCATTATGTTCGCGAAAAAAGCTGCCGATTGCGAAGCGAAATGCTCATCGGGCTTGTTTAATGAGAGCGTGCGAGGCAATATCGCGGGTGTCCTTTACGGCTTCGATTCTCGATCTAACGCGCTCAACCGACGCTCTATTTACGTTCTGATCTTATTCCGGAGAATTGACTTCAATTCGAGATCATCATCCGCGTCGCATCCGCGGCGTGAAATCCGCGCGACGATTACATTTCACGGTTTTTACTAGCGCGTCGCCCGACCGATCTCGGATTGAATATCGAATACCGCGTTTATTGCTGACATTGGCTCTAATACCGAAGTTCGAATATTTATTCCGCGCGTTTAATGCATCCGGATTATTATTCTGCCGCGCTTCAGATCTCAAAGAATAGATCGCAACTCGCGCGTTTCCCCGCTCGTGAATAGCGCTTGTAATTTTTCGAGGATAATTATATGTGAGAGGAGAGCGTTAAACGATTTTTCAGCGGAAGCGCTTTCACGTTCAGTTCTCGCGCGACTCCGTATTTCTCTCCGTGTCTCGACTCCATTGCGCCTCCTTTCAGCCTGTATGTTTATTCGAAAGAGAGAGAGAGAGAGAGAGAGAGGCGCACGACCGTCGCCATTATTTTTTAAACGAAGGGAGAAGCGAACACGTTTAGCTCATTGAAAGTGATACAATCTCGGAAAATAACAGATGTCTCCTCGAGTGCTCGACAAAGAAAGCTCTCGCTCGTACCTCGGAGATTTCGTGAAAAGCCCTTTGTCGTGCCCGAAGCGCCGGAGGGAGGGAGAACGAGCAGGGCTCGGAAAAAATCTTAATCTCAATTATTTACTAATTCCCTGTCCCCCTCCTCTGCACGTTACGGGTCGTCAGTTAAATCGACTCGTGTTTGCGAGTCTATTTTGTATTTTACCTCGCGCGACCGTCGTTTTTCCTTTTTGTATTATTTACCACCCGACGGAGCGCCGTATCTCCGTCTTACCTGATATACTCTTACATTCGGTTTGATGCAATTTAAATTGTTATCAAAATCACCAGTAAAAAGGTAGTCATCGGCTCCGCTTAAATTTAAAACCACGGAATAATGAAAAAGCGAGAGAGAGGGTGGATATATTTCTAGATAGATATATAATTTTATAGTTTGATCAGCTCGCTTGGTTTTCACTAGCTTGATTAGTTGGATTGTTGCGGTTAAATATATCGTGCCGCAGTTTGCTCACACACATGGAGATTCAGCGGTCATTCGCACGCGTCTGCGAAATGCGTCGAGAATGTAATAGTAAAAGAAAACGGTCAATCCGCACGCCCGATACAAATAAGCGCGGCATAGCGAGCACGAGAGAGAGAGAGAGAGAGAGAGAAAGAGAGAGAGCTTGCAGTTTGTTACCGGTGTTCTAATTGGCGCAAATTAATGCATCGTGCTTAAACTTGCGTCTTTCGCGCCCGACGGGATGCAGGTCGCCTGCGAGATATTCCCGCTTTTGTGCCCGCGCCGGCGAGGTAGCGCGCGAGTCGTGTCGTTTCAACGAGACTAAACGTAGCTCGTTTCTCAGATCTCCGTCGCGTTCTGCACGTCGTTGTCGCTTGGCTGTCCGGGGATAGTTCTGAGGCAGTAATTTCGTTGGTATTTCATCCCGCGCATCTCTCGCCAGTCAGGTCCTCGGGAGTCCCGAGGCTGAAACGGGGCTCCGCTATCCATCCCCTCCCTCCTCCTCGCCGCTCATATTTTTTTATCAGTTAACAACGGAGCGTCGCGTAATTACGCTCTTCGGCGCGAAACTTCGCCATTGTCAAAGAACTCGAGGAATTTGACGAACGTAACTGCTGAGACCCTGTGAGCGGCGCTCGCGAGAACGCCAGGGACGCGCGTAAACTATTTATTCGCGAAAATTGCGCGAATTATCAGCTGTCGAGAGGCGCACGGCATTTTCCAGCCACGTCCAGTTGTCCACTCGCAAAAGACATGGAAGATCATCGGTACGGAGATCGGAGAAACGGTTCGTCGATCGCGTCTACACAAAGGTGAAAAAGACAAGCGCGTTTCGAGAGCGACTCGATTTAATCGGGATCTCCTCGGCGACGTGAGAACGCGAAAGCGAGCGAGAAGCCCGGTCGTTCCTCGGGCGGGTTGCGCGACGAGAGGCGGAATAGTCTTTCGAGCAGGCGTTTAACGATCCTCGCCGCTTTACAGCTTGCACTTTTCGATCCCGCCTATGTATTGATGTCCACGCTTCTCCCGCCGGCCCGTCTCGTGACGGTTCCCCGCGCGTTACCGTCGCTGAAAGGAGCTAATGATCTAGCGCGAGCCGCTGCCGAATGACAATTAACGCTCGTCGTGACGCGCGCCGACGTGATGATTAACCGTGATGAGACGAGGGCCGTGCCGGCGGAATGCGCATAGAGAAGACGCGGCGGCCACCGATGAGGACTTCTCGATCGTCGGGGGGGAGAGAAGCTGGTCTCTCTTCTTCGGCGCGCGCGACCTTCCAGCCGATCTCCCGTTTCTCCAGTCGATTCGCGGAGGACGGATGGATCCGCGCGTTGAAATCATCCGCGCTAATCACCGGCTCTCGAGGACGGCGCGGCGTTTAATTAGGGAGGCTTTGTCGAACGGTGAACAAGAGCGCACACGCGAGCATCGATCGTTACGAGCGCCTTCATTTCTTATGTACATAGAAATGACGGCGATCTTCCGGGTGTGATTGTGAAAATTAGAATAACGACTGACAGCCGGAGCGCGCGTTATCTCGAAGGCGAAGTAAGCGAGCCCCTCGGCGCCGACGACGCGAGCAACAATATCGCGAACGGACGAGTCCGCGCGGACGGACGGTGATTTATCGTTACAAAATGTGAAATATATCGCGCGACGGTGTTTGCGAAACCACCTGGCGATTGTCGAGCCCGTTTTCGCAACGGGAGACCGTCGCGCCCGAATTTCATTTCGAACATTTTCGCACGGCGATCCTAATTGCGCCGGGTAACGCTCAGCGCGGAAAGCCGAAACCCTTCTTCCCGCGTAGCGTTCGCTTCGCATATAATTTCCGCTACATCTGCCCGCGAATTGGGCGCGCGTGACCGAGCGAGACGGGGATACGAGGGAAATTTATGCGGGACGTAATCAGCCTTGGAAAAATTCGGAAATTTACCGCCGACACGGCAGTGTTTATTATTTGCTCGGTCGCTATTTATTTTTTGGCGCACTTTGAAATTTGCTTTTGGCGAACCAGTTTCGACGCCGCCAATATTTACCGCGTTTCGCGGGCGATAATCCCTCGAATTATGTTCTTTGAAGCCGCGTTGTTTACGCGCCCAGCACGGAAAAGGGTGTGCGCGACGAGCGTACGCGCGGCGCGCGCGTGCGCGCGCGCCGCAGAAAAGTCCGGGGATCAATCGAGTGTTTTTCTTTTTTCTCGCAAATTGCCGTGAATTCATAAAATCATCGCGGGAGGACCGACGCGACGGTGAAATTATTTCGGCCGCCCGCGCCCGATAATCGTTAACACACCCGTTTTCGCCGTCGGCCGCCGGACGCGTGCTGACCGGCCCTTTTTTTCCCTGCCTATCGTCAAGTAAAAAATCCACAATACGATTAAGAACGATACGCGAGAGATCGTCAATCGAAACGCGCGCGCGGCCACGTCCCGTTAATAATCCATGCTCTCGATGTTACGTTGTTACGCACGAAAATTGGTTTTTGATCGCGCGCTCCCCCGCGCTAAATAATCACCGCCGCCGCCGATATATTCCCCGCGAGAGTTACGGCATTATCGACGATATTATCCAGCTCCGTTAATACAGTATCCGCGTTATACCATGTTACACACGAATTTCAACGTGTTCCCCGATCAACATGTTTTTTCACCCTTTTTCCCCCGCTCGATCCTTTTTTTTTTCCTTTTTCTATAGAAACACCGATGGATTTTCATCTTCCGTATATTTGCCTTAAATACAGCGCGATTATTACGTTCTACTTTTCGCTTAAAACGGCGCCGCGGCCGAACATTTACGTATCTCGGCGCTCTACGTGCGCCTCAACGCGAGAACCGCTATTCTAATGAGGACCGAATCGTGATTTATTATGTGCTCCTCAAGAAACCGAAGTGTGAAAAAGTGAATTCCTCGGCGGGGCTTCGACGCGCAAAGCCGTGCACACGTCGAATAAGCTCATTAGCGCTGCTCCGTCGGGCGATTATTTTATCCGCCTTTATTTTTACCGTATTACAAGTAGTGTAATTATATCTAACCCCCAACGCTGAGTTATATACCGTTCAGCCAACGCTTTCATTTCCCGCGTATAAATACCAGCGAACAGCCCCGCGCGTTAAACCATCTCGGCGACGGCGGACCCCGGCCGCATAGTTCGGGCGTCGCCGAGGAGGAAGCGGAACGCACCAGCGGAACTTGACCGAAAGCATTTCGGATGATTTCAGCACTGTGTTAGCGTGGCCGGAGGTGGCGGCGGCGGAGACGGCGGAGGCGGCGGCGGCAGTGGCACGGTCGGCGGCGGTCGGCTGAGCCTGCACCTTCGTCCTTGCGGAGGCGGCGGTGGCGGCGGCATCGCCGAAAGTGACAGCGCTCCGGATTACCCGCCGAGCGCTGCGGCAGCGCGGAGCAGGGAGGCGGCGGCGGCGGCGCTGCACGCGGCAAGAACCCTGTTGGGCGCGGGGGTGGCCAACCCTTGCTCGCCCACCCCCGAGCCGCCCTTCTGGAAGATGCCACACAAAGGTCGGTCCGGTCAATTTATACTTCATTTACACGGACGAGACCCGCGGGATGTTTGGTGATTAATCGGGAGGCTGAGGACGGCTTGATTCTTCGACTTCGAGATCTCGGTGACGCGTGACGATAGGCTTCCGTCGGTCGCTTTGTTTGCTCGTGTCGCGTGCAGGAAGAATTTGGAAGCAGACCTGTGTACGGAAACTATTGGGAAGGTACTCATAAGTGATCAAATATTTACAAGACTCTCTTATTCTTAGCAATTTCCGCTCGAGTCGCGTCTATACCCCGGTAGAAATTGAACCTCGCGGCTGGCAGACACCCGCGATGGAGTAAATTTCTGTTTATCATCGCTGCTAGCCAAGTAATGTAATGCTCACTTTTTCCAGTAACTGGATAATGGCTGGGTGTACGAGTTAGCTACGGTTAGACAAAAGAAATTACAGTCACTAGATGAAATCGTAACTATTAGGTTGGTGCGTATGAAATGTCGCATTCTCTTTACATGCGGACGTTTTCCTCCCTGTTTTCGTTATACTTTTGTATTTGGCATAACCTCATTCATACTCGTATTGTCCATTGCCAGAGACTCATTTCAACAAAATAGGTTTTCTCGAAGGTCTTCCCTTTTTTATTTCTTTTGAGTTTATTACCGATATGAATTCTGCCGACATTCGCGTCATTTTCTTATATGAGTACAAACTTGGTAATAGTGCTGCAAAAGCTGCACGCAACATAAACCAAGCGTTTGGGGAGAATACGGTTAACAATCGGAAAGTGCAGCGTTGGTTCGAAAAATTTCGGACTGGCGATTTTTCACTGCAAAATGAGCCGCGCGGAAGACCCAAAACGTCTGTGAATAATGATGACCTGAAGGCTCTAGTGGAAGCGGATCCAGCCGTATCCACGAGGGAACTTGCTATCAGGATGAAAGTTGACCATACAACGATATTGAGACACCAAATTGTACTCCCATCGCTTGTGAATCGGCATGGCCCGCTACTGCTCCATGACAACGCTCGGCCGCACACATCGCACAAAACAATTGCGAAACTGAACGAACTGGAATATGAAGTTTTGCAGCATCCACCATATTCACCGGATCTCTCGCCGACCGATTTTCATTTTTTCAAGCATTTAGAGCTGTTTTTAAGAGGCAAACACCATGAAAATGAAGACAGTCTAAAAAACTCGATATCAGAGTTTATTAATTCTAAAGACCAAAATTTTTTTAAGACAGGCATCTACGCTTTAAAATCTCGTTGGGAGAAGTGTATTGAAGCGAATGGAGCATACTTTGATTGAATAAACAGCTTTTGAAGAAAGATATACAGTTTTATACAATCACTTAAGAATCCGACATTTCATATGCACCAACCTAATAGTTGCGAGGCAGTAATCTAACGTTCGCTTTTGTTTTTTCAAAACTCTTACGGAATAACGTACACTTTTCATTCGCTTCCTCCCTCCCTTTCAAATGCTAGATACTTTTAACTTTTACTCTGTTATATTTGATATGTAAGAGCTGGGCAACGGCTAGATTGCAAAACCGATTCTACATTTCAGTAAGAAATCGACGATGAGCTAAAAATTTCATCTAGCCTGTACTAGTTAGCCACTAGCTTTCGACTCAGACCGATTAAATATATTTGTACTCAGGTATATGAACAGTATTTTCTTAGTGCGCTGTTTGTGGGTGAGAAATTATTACGTCATTTATTATTATAATTTACTTATTATTATAAGCTAAAAGCTTTGCTTTAGGCTTCTACGCAATAAAAAAAGATTGTGTTACAAACGACCCATTCACCCAATTGTGTTACTTTAACAAGATGAATATGGTAAAAAGTAATATGTTAACGAGGAATATATTAATTAAATATATTTGTGCTTTTTAATACATATGGCCCGTATTACGGTAATATAAAAATTTAGGATTAATAGTAAGACAAAATTTTTTAATGTGTATTTTATTTTGAAATATTCAATTATTCATGAGCACCCCTAATATAATCATGCGATAAGGTATGCCAATCACCAAACATCTTGCGTGTGAGTGGATGTGTCTAGAATGCGCGTAAAAAATTCGTCAAGCTAGAGAGAGACAGAGAGAGAGAGAGAGAGAGAGAGAAAGATTATGATATATAATATAATATAATTCTTGCTTATATGTATATAAGGATATTCGACGATAAGGATACGAATCTTGAATTAATACCATGTTTTCCCCGCGTATGAAAAATATAACGACGTGCTCGACCGGTCGCATCGACGCACAATCTCGCGTAGTTCGTCGCTTCGCGATCTCGAGTCGCTCGTGGATTGAAAGTTTCCTTAAACCGGGGGTGGATAATTCCGATCGGCCGGAATATTCCCGGCGAAGTCGCGACCTTCGCGATGAGTTTTATATCGGAGAGGGGGCGAATAAATACGCGTACGCTTATGGGCTTAGGTAGGCTCGCGGTTACCCCTGGGGGGTTAGTCGGTAACCCGACACGCCTTTGGCCGGCTTCTGTCGGGCCAGCGGCCCCTTCGCCGCCGACTTCGACGAAGGGTGGAGGCCCTCTTGCACCTCGAAAGATTCGACCCTATGGCGCGCCGCCACACCCGGCGACAATCGGCTAGGCTGGCTCCCTTCCTCCGTACGATGCGGGGGTGCTTACACCGCCAATTTATCTCGATGCAACGTAATCTTTCCCCGCAGTTACTCACGGCTCCTCCCGCGCTGGAGGCTCGCGTTACGCGGGCTCACGGCCCATGCGACCTCATAATGGGACTTACAGGGAGAGTAAGCGCTCCCCACTCTCTCCGTTTCTCCCTGCAGCCCTCAGATCATTCGAACATGCGTGTGTGTGCGCACAGCTTCAGACAATGTTCGCGTGGCACGAGCGCGCCCTTCTTTCAACCATCCAACCACGGTCTGTCTGTTCCCTCTTGCGCTCTTCGTTCTTCCCTGTCGTTGTGTGTGTATATATACGCTGTATAGCGTACACGCAGCGAGGAGAGGGCGAACCTCCCTCTTACTTCGGTTCTCCATAAAACCTGCCGTGGTAGCTGTTCGAATGAAACGGCCGATTCACGCGAGAGCGCTTTATTTCGCTCTCGTCGCTACGCGAGATTTGTTAATGGTTATAGGCGGCGGGACGCCTATAGGCGCCGGGATCGGATCTCGCGCGTGCCAGCGCTCGGAGGCTGCGGAGATTACCTGCCTCCGCTTCCAAGGGGGTAATAAATGTCGGCGGTGCGGGATTATCCCCCGCGACCAATCAATAGGCTACGGCTGGCAATACGTCCGCGAGGCACGCCGATAACTTTCGCCCGTGGCTTCGTATACGTGGGGGGCTTCGAATCCGCTGCCAGTTTCGTCCTTCGATCCGTGCGCGGCAGCCATACTTGCGGAGGAAGGACACACGTTGTATATACACACATTGAGGGCTGTGCTGTCAGAGAAATTCCCGGCGAGAGAGAGAGAGAGAGAGAGAGAGAGACCGTGCGAATCGTCGGATATTTCGCGTACGAGTAGCCGTTAATTAATCCCGTCGTGATACGTTTCGCGACCCATCCTCGTTAACCGGGCGATATTTGGCCGGGGATAACTTGATCCGTAAGCGCGGAGGGTTTGAAGATCAATAGAGCCTCGGTGACACGATTGAAAGATCAACGTGCACAGGCGATGGATGCGCGCGACGGATTGACCTCACGGTATCGATGGATCCATTTTCTTTCGCTCCTCGCGAATCATAATTCGCATGTCGCGCGTTCGCCCGCACACGCGGAAAATCGTCGAAATTTCACGGTCCGTTGATCGACGCTCCGTTTACCGGCGCGAAATTTATTCGACCGAGATCGCCGCCGCCGTTATTTCGCGTTATTTCGACGCGCGGTATCTTGTTATCGGGGTGAATCGTAACGAGCGGTGAATATATACGATTACCAGCCCCGCGGCCATGAGTTCGGTATTTACTCCGCGAAGGGCTGTAGCAGGGAAGATACGCGACGGACCGCCTTACACACGGTGTCAATAATAACGGGCGCGGTAATGAGTATGCGCTGTCGGGGATGGTGGCTGCTAATACCGCGCCGCCGCCTCTTAACACCATCCGTAATGAATTCGTCGCTCGGAAAGTGCGCACGCGCACCAGCTAGAGAGAGAGAGAGAGAGAGGGTGTCCCGCTCTTACCGTGATTCAACTCATTAGAGAGCGTATGCCTGGCACGCTATCTTTGATGTAGCTGAAAGGTGCGCACAGATGAAACTCTCTCTCTCTCTCTCTCTGTCGCCACGATGCCATGAGTTTATCGTGAAACGCTCGGAGGCTCCCTTGCGCCGCGCCACCGTTTGCTCATCCTTCCGAATCTACCGACGTGATAATAACATTTAGTCGGTGACACTCAACAAACGCGTCGGCTCCAGAAGCGCCCGACCAGACGTTATGCCGTCAGCAGGCTGGGCTCCCACCGGAAATAAACGCAGCTCGATCTTGTAAATATTCGTCGAGTGACACGGAATGTTAATACAACTGCGATTCTGAAGGGAATGTCTTCGGGTCGTCATCTTTCTTCTTCTAAATCCCTTGCCTCCCCTTCTCACTCTATCTCTCTCTCTCTTTCTCGTTATTTAATAACTTTAGAACGTACCTTGGAATATTTTCTTCACTTTACGAGAATACACTGGAAGGTGGGGGGGGGNATAACAATTAAATTATAATTCTTATATTACGGCAAACGGAAAATAATGTTAACTGCAACGATTTATCTCATTTTTTTTTTCTGCTTCGAAATCGCGTTTTCAGTAGTAGTACAGTTCTATTTGCCGAATATAAAATAATAAAAAGGCTCTCTTATATATATCTGCAATCGAATTGTATGATAATTAAGGCAAGTAAGAGCTGGAGCGCTGTTATAGTGGCGAATAATTTATTTGAACAATAATTCAATGTAATTTTCTCGCCAACGTTTTGATCCTTATTATTTGGACCTTCTTCAGTGCATACAATAGAAATATAAATA